CCGAGCTACCACCACCCAAAGCCTGCACACGCTGCAAGACTCTCCTCCTTTTGAGACGACGAGGTCTCTCTGGAATTAGCACATCCTTGCACAAGCCGAGTTGGAGAAATAATTCCTTCTTGCAAAACCCTTCTGGGCTTCGGTTTGGCCCCGACGTTTGGGTCAGCGTGCTCTCACAGCACCACCCTGCTCTCCCCTGCTCCCACTTCCCCACTTTATCTCCCACTGAATAACTCCCTTCCCCTTCGAGTTTACAGCCTCTGGCTGTTCATCATGTTCCTGCAGTAGCCAGACTCCAGATTTAGCTTGCTCCCTCCTTGCTCCTAAATCAATTGATACTCCAAGCCCCCTCAGCAGTTTCGTGGCCCTGAAGCCAGAGCTCAAGCCAATAATACAGGTTCTGGATTGTGGGCTCAGTGTTATTTTCATTTTCTTTGCTCTTAGTCAAGGTCATCAGCAAAACATTTGGGGAATGTCTAGGCAGAGAGAGTCTGTTTCAATTGTCTTCACAAAGGGCAGGGGAGGGTTTGGCATTTCTGTGAAAGGTTAGTCTACGCCGAATCTTTATCAGCCACAGAGGAAGCAGATGTCTCTTCTGCAAAAAGAGACAATTAGAAGTCATGGTGGTGGCTCAAATTTTCACCAGGATCACATGCAGATAAGCCAACCGAAGGGTGACAGCGACGCTTGAGCAGTGGATCAGAGTGAGCCAAACATTTGAAAGTCTTACACTTCACAGAGACATGAGCCAAACAGGAGATTTGGGCTTCGAGCTGAATAATGAATTTCATGGCTGCTTCTCTGAGTTTTGCAAAAGGTGAGGATGAAAGGCTTTTCCTAACCCACATTTCCTGCTGTCTCTGTTTCAGCCGCCATACAGCTTTTACTCTGGGGGATTTGTTTGTAGGCATCAGAATGAGCCAATGAGCCCTTACTGGCAGAGAACACTGTCTAAGAGCAAAAATCAGAGACTGGGAGTCCAGCCTCCAGGTTTGCCTCTGAGAGACCTTCAGTGAGGTATTTAACCCAGCAGCCTCAGAGCTCCCCTCCAGCAGGAGAACACCACCTACCTGACATGAAACATTGAGGCTCTAAGGGAAGGATACGCACCCTGCCGAGTGCTGCGGTGGGGAGAAAACTAGAGCATCTCTATATTCCCCCCCTTTCTAGCAGCAAAGCTGCCAGCCAGTCCCATCCTGTTCCTTCCCCAATTTTTCCAAAGAAAAAAAAGCCCGGATAAATTCACATGCATCTAGTTGGGCACACTGCAAAAATACCGTGAGCTCCGCATGCTACGTGCAGACTACAAATAACCTTTCAAAGAAAATGAGAGTGAGGAAAATGCTATTGCAGCAGGGAGCCCTGCCAAGAGGTAGAGGAAGAAACTGCGGATAGCCCAAAATTAATAAAACACAGCTGGGTTTAACTTGAGTCACCTGCAATCTCTGCCAAGGCACCTCTTGGTTTTGAGTTGGCAAAACAAATGACCTCGAAGAATCTGCACTAGAGGGGGGCACCTCTGAGGAACTGCTGCTGTTCCTGCTTGAGTCCTGGTCTTTTACAAACATTCAGTACATAAATGACATGCTTGTAAGGACGCGTGTCTTGCCTGCCCAGATTTATGACGCCACGTGGGATACCAGTGGGGGTGTTAAAAGCTGGCAAAAGTTTCTCTCCAAGTTCCAGAGCTTTACTCTTGAACACCTGTTAAAAGAAGAAGAGAGGATAAATATTTGATGGCTTGTGAATACCAGTCACACTGGATTCTTTCAAATCCCATTTTCCAAACACACCATTATAAAAAAAAGCTAAAAGTGCTGCACTATAAGAATCTACCATTTCAGGTACACTGCTGCCCTAGTTCCACATCATGATAGATCTGAACCAAAAGTCATGCTCAACTTTGGTATCTGAGTGTCCTCTAAAAATCTACACTAAACCAGTGGCAAGTCTCCTGAAAAACACTCAGCCTGGATGAGAGCAGCCAGAGCTGCAGAGCTCACAACACCCCTAATACCTCAGCAGCACATTTCCGTGATCAGAATTGAGCCAAACTGTACTCTTTTGGGCCAAATTCTTCCCTTTTCCCAGGGTGGCAGAGGACACAGGGAAGTGAAATGACTGAATTAAAATCCAAAGAAATCCTCCTAGGGTGAAGTTAGATTTACAACATGGGTTTGCCAACTTGTGTCGTCTCCCCTTGTGAAAAACATGATTTCCAACAAAACAATCTTTTACTTGCAACTCTTTTCCAGGAAGTATTCATGGTTTCATGGCTAAGCCGCTCCTTTTCCATTTGTAATGCCTCAGTTTTGGGCTTTCAAATCAAATTATAGCTTATGGTGGCTTGCAGCACAAAGCCACCACGCACAATTATTTTGGGACAAACTGATACAAGCACTAATCTTTGCTCCAGAGATTAGTCCTGATCAAGGGAAGCCTGTAAGTGACTTAGGAGATAAAGCTCAAGCCTTTTACCTCTAGCCCCCCTACACCAGCCCAAGCTGTCACACTACTTCTCAGAAAGCAGGAATTTATTGCTCTAAAAATACAGCTCTGAGGAAACCGGAGCTCTCCTGTGGGCTTGCAGCCCTTTGAAACGCTCACAAGGAGATAGGGGTTTGGTTCAGAAGGGAAAGCAAGAGATGGGGACTTGATTTTTGCCTTTCAGCCTGGTGACACTGACTGGGTAACATGACAGGCGCTGCCCCAGCTGCTGAGCATCGCTGCCAACTGCACTTCAAGAGGTCACTGCTGGAGTTTTATGGTTTAATGTGGTTTCTTTTTGCTCTGTTGATCTGAAGCCTGTTGAAGTTGTGACTGAGACAGACCCTGAGTCGGGGTATTGAGTATCTGAGAGTTTTCCCTGGAGTGAAGTCACAGAGAGAAGTCATTCTTGGAACTCATTTAAAACGTAATTAAAGTAACAGAGCTGCTCCTTTGACTCCACAGATCAATGGTGCCACTGGGCAGCAATGAGCCATCCCACCCCATCATGGTGCCCAGCACCCAACCATGGTCACTGGATGGCACAAGAGCAGAGCTCTCATTTAAGAGCCAGTCTTCCAGCTCCTTCGCTCACAAAACTCCTCCTGGAATCAGAGTTTCTGCTCTGCTAAGACTTCCAGGGCAAAGGAATAATAATAATCTCTTCATCTCTCTACAGCCAGCTGTAAAATTCCAGCCCAGTCACATTATAAAGCAGATTATGGCATTAAGCCCTGGCCTCGGTCGGGCTGGAGGGAAAGAAGGGAAGCAGAAGCAAGAGCCTCCTGCTTTAGCCAGGACTGAAGGGCTGCTCCACCACCCCACAGGAGGGGCTGTGACTCCTATCCTACACCTACTGGGCGAGGGGACATTTGTGGAGCTGTGTCACTTTGTCACCTGAGCTGGTAGCACGTGGGTACCCTGCCCTAGCAGTTTGTCACCCTCCTTCCCTCTACCCCAGGGCACTTTATCTTAGAAACTGCTGCTTCAGAGAGACTGTCCAGGTAGATTTTGGAGCATTTGCCACTAATCACTTGCCCCCCTTAGTCCCAGGCAGAATGTGGAATGATGTCTGATGAAATATTGTCTATGTTTAGAATATAAAGGAACAAGTACAAAGACAAAGATCACTGCAAATGGCATTTCACTGGGGAGCAATGTGTCCAACTGAAAACATGTCTTTCTAGAATTGCCCACAGGAGAAAGGATCTTTGCAAATGAGGCATGCACGGTGTGTGCAAGGTAATTATGCGAGACTTAATTAAAAGAACATTAGTGGCATTTCGATATTCATAAAAACGATAGGTTTAGCCTGTTGTTATGGAGGGATTATCTGATGCTCAGAGAAAAGCTGCTGGAGAACCCTTTCAGTTCATTATTGGTGGCAGTGTGAGACATGCAGAGCTGCTGAAACAAACCTCTTCTCCGGTTAAGTAGTACGCGGCCAACAGTCCTCCAATGTAGCGGATGTTCACCTCAAACAAGGATGCTTCTCCGTTCTGAAAATACATAATGACATACTTGACTGCAAAGCCTGCACGCACAAATGGCAGCCAAAGGGAACAGATTGCAGGCAGATCCTGAAGTCTCCCAGTCCTCACCCACAGTGTAACACAGCTTTATATCTAAGATCTCGCAGCGCTTTATTTGCTCTACAGTGACAGGTGGAGCCTGAAGGGAAGAGAAACACCCCAACTACCCATTTATCACCAGCTGACAATACGTAAATCAGGGCAGATGTATTGTCCAGCCAGCCAGCCCTGGCCGAGGTTATGCCTTGCAAAAAGCTGTGAGTTAGTTCCAGGGGCAAATTTGCCCCTTGAAATATTTTATTTAAATAGAAAATTGTAGAGCCACACAGAAAAAATGTTTTCTCCATTTTCTTGTAAAGAGGCCACTGCATTAGATAGATGTAATGCACTTCCTGCATCAGGTAGGTATTTTCTGTCATTCAAGGACTCACCCCAGTCTGCAGGCTCAGAGAGGACCACAGCCTATGGGGTGTCTAAGGACAGCCTTATGGAGAGACAAACCGCATGATGTCCGTGTGTCCCACCACCACAGACAGCAGACACAGAGGGATGTGGTTCACTGAATCCCTCAAGAACCCACTCACCTGGAACAAGTTTTGCTCTACCGACTCAGCTGATCATCAGCAAACGTCAAAACGATTGCATTCAAAATGTGCCTTTGAAAAATACATGCTCCTGGCCACTGAATCTGCATGATAAATGATTCCTACCCTCACGCAAATGCATAAAGACAAAAACCAGAAAGATCTTCCACCACCACAGCACTTTCAGTGAGGAGGGCAAAGCAAAGGGGCACTCGAACCTCTGCACTAGCCTGCCCTTTCCAAATACCCGCAGGTTACAAATCACAGCAAGTGCTTTCTTGAGATGATGACTGAAATTGCAGGAGACAGATCACAGCACCCAGTTACCAACAGAGCTCGTGGGCCTTGGAGTCCCTGCCCCGCTTTTCTGGACTGCTAGAGTTCCTTGTACAGAGCCAATTTTTAATTAATTTCCCTCCTTCTCTCCCTCTGCTGTGCTTTCTGACTCCACCGATCAATCCATAGCATTCATTCTTGTCTTTGCAGATCAATCTATTCTGCAGGCCAAGATTAAAAGCTTTTATGAAATCCAGATAAATTATCTCCCAGTTGATTTTGTCCCTTGTTTATCGATTCAGTAACGCACTGAGAGCATTCACCAAATTTATCAGATGTGGTCTTCCTTTTATGAATATATGAATGCCAGTCATGCCCTCCCAAATGATGCTTTTCTATAAAGGCAGCTGCATGCATTGTTCCCAGGGGGAGAACCATTTTTCACAACAGACAACTAAGCTGGCATTAAAAAAATAGAAGTTTGAACTGCACTCTGGTTTTAACATGCTCCGTATGCCACCGATCTGATCCCATCAGCTCTCCCATGAGAAACACAAGAGCTGGTTTGAAGACCAACAGTCAGAGCTACAGCAAGTGGCCCCGGCCACAGAGTGAGATAAAGGACAGTGTCCTTCATTTTAGAAAGAACTACTTTACTGAGAGAGTGGTCAGGCACTGGAACAGCCTGCCCAGGGAGGTGGTGGAGTCACCATCCCTGAAGGTAGTTAAGAAACGTATAGACATGGCTCTTCAGGGCATGCTCTAGTGCCCAAGGTTATTGGTTTGTGGTGAGGTGTTGAGTGTGGGGTTTAGTTGGTGGGTGCGGTGTTTTTGGTGGGCGTTTGGTGTGGTGTGTTTTGTATGTGTTTGGTTTTTGTTGTTGTTGTTGGTTTTATTTTGTGGTTGGACTCGATGATCTCAGAGGTCCCTTCCAACCACTAAGATTCTGTGATTCTGTGATTTGACAGCGCCATGAGGCACATGTGGTACCCAGAGTCCCAGCAAGGCTCATACCAGCTCTAAGAAGAAGCTTCAGGGGCCACAGAGAGCGAGAATCTCTGGCCATTTTTAGAGATAATGCCCTTTCTACCAAATCTAGGCTCACTGTGTGCTCCCACTTCGCTGCCAAGGTGCCACGCTCCCACTGCGCAAGTCCCAGCAATGACATTCCAACAAAGGGCCCAGTCAAGGAGATCAGGGTTTGCAATCTTCATCTACAGCATGTAAAAAGAAAATTTCTCTTATCACAGGCAGACATTTAATTGAGATGAAATAGAGCTTGTTCTTTGATGAACAAAACTTCCTTAGAGTAGTAATTAAAGCTGTTTTTATAACTCAGACCAAAAGGCAAAAAATATTAAACGCTAAATCTCATTTTCAGCCAGACACTGTGAGTCTGCTGTGGTGGTCCCTGGCTGGAACCCAGGGCAGAAGATGGGGTGAATCATCACAGTAGTCCCTTTGGCCTTAAAAAAAAAATAAAAAAGCAGACTTGAGGGTTTCTTCCCCCACGGACTTCATAGTTCCCCTCCCCAAATGATTCTTAGAGAAGATTGTGATCAGAACTGACCAAACACATAGCATTTCTGTGACACAGACAGGCATTCCCAGTAACTGACTCACCACGTTCAAGTCGAAGCTCTTCTCCACCCACTTCTTTGCTTCTTGGAATTCCTCCTCGAGTTCCATGATGTACAGAGTATCTAAGGCGTCTATCACCGTAGCTCCTCGAAGGCCTCCTGCATCGCAAACAGAAGAGCATGATGAAGCCCCACTGATGCAGTCGTCTTTAGCTCTAAATCAGTCTGCAGCTCCCAGTCCCAATACTGGGGACATCTGGATGGGATCCAGGTTGGCCATGGTCTAGGCCAAGATCTTCTAACAGAACTAGTGAGCTCTGCTCCCCAAAACGGGCTGCTTTGGAGAGGCCCCATTTTCAAAGGCTGACACTTCTGAAAGAACACCCCTAAGGAACACCCCAAGGTCCACACTTTAAGCCACCAATCATGACTGCAAGCCTTGGCTTTGTTTTCCACTCTTGTCTTGACCAAAGTACTCAGGTGGTTCCATCCCCCATTGTTCAGCTGTAAACCTAAATTCAGCCTCTTTCTAAACCAGTTACAAGCCTAAGTAAGAGAATCTTATTTTTTCTTGTGTGAGAGCATCCAGGACAGGACGTTGATCATTCTGCCCTGATGCAGTGATGTTATGTGAGGCACAAAGTACTTTTGCACCATGCCATGCCCCGGGGTCTCCCACCACCAACCTATTTACAAAACACAGCCTCATCTGGCAGCAGAGAGACCATAAACTACTATTGATGAACCTTGAGCAGAAAGTGGGTGACTCTGGGAACAGCTCCATTCTTTTGGCTGACAGAACAGACCCTGTGAGCACGCTCACCATTCTCCAGCAGATGGCAACGGGACACACGCAGATGAAGCAAATGCCAACCAAGTACTCGGACCAGCCATGTCATCCATGTAAAAAAATTGCACACCGAGTGTTGTCTTACGCAAATGGACTACAGGAGATGTTCCAGTGAGAGAGAATGACGTGGCGTGTCATGCCAAGAAAACTACGCAGAGTGTGTAGACAATCACAGAATCATAGAATTGCCCAGGCCGGAAGGGACCTCCAAAGGCCATCTAGTCCGACCCCCCCCGCAGTCAGCAGGGACACCCCCAACTAGACCAGGTTGCCCAGGGCCTCGTCGAGCCTCTCCTTGAATATCTCCAGGGAAGGGGCCTCACCCACCTCCCTGGGCAACCTGTTCCAGTGCTCCACCACCCTCACAGTGAAGAACCCTCTCCTCATCTCCAGTCTAAATCTGTTCCCCTCCAGCTTGAAGCCATTGCCCCTCGTCCTGTCACTGCAGGCCTTTCTAAACAGGCTCTCCCCAGCCTTCCTGTAGGCTCCTTTCAGGTACTGGGAGGCTGCTATTAGGTCTCCCCGGAGCCTCCTCTTCTCCAGCCTGAACAACCCCAGCTCCCTCAGCCTGTCCTCGTAGCAGAGGTGCTCCATCCCCCTGACCATCCTTGTGGCCCTCCTCTGGACCCTCTCCATCAGGTCCATGTCCTTCTTATATTGAGGGCTCCAGACCTGCACACAATACTCCAGGTGAGGTCTCACCAGAGCAGAGTAAAGTGGCAGAATCACCTCTCTAGCAGTTGAGATTAAACTAGAGATAGCAGCAACCCTGGGTTTGGAACATCTCAGCGCTAGAGATCTATTTCTGTTAGGGCTCCCTAAAATTATTCCTAGCACAAGAAAGCAAAGGGTACGAAGCACATTGTGACTCAAACCCTTTTGTGCTTTAATTACAAAGGCCATCACTTTCCTGGGTAACTCAGTAAAGACAAATCCTCACGTGGAGGATTCCAGTTTGGAATCATCATCCGTCATCCCTCTGCGGATGTAACGTGCCGGGGCCACAGGCGTGAGGCTGCCTCCGTATCCCCGTCAGCACGTGCAGCCCCCCCAGCCACGGTCCTGCCCACCCCCCAGCAGTCAGACCTCTTGGAATCTCTGGCAGAAATGATGCTTGGAAGAGGTTCAGGTTTCGTTTCTGCAGGAGAAACTATCATCTCCCTTTCCAGTGTAACCACAAAGACACGCTGCTTATGCCATGGTGTTTTCCCGAGATGTTATTTCTATTTGGCTCATGTCAGTTCCTTCTTCTCACTAACAGACTTTAAAAATTACTAGTCCAAATCCCCCCATCTCACCCAGCCTTTTACTGCATGCTCAGTAAAAGTGCTTGGCACTTTTGGAATACCTACAGTGTTACTTCAATTCTCATTCTGCTTAAGAGGGGAAAACCCAGCTGGACGCACTGTCGAGGAACTACTGCAGAAGGGAGAGGGAGGCAAAGGTGAGTCCTGTGTCATGAACCTGAAGATTTTCGTCTTTTCTTATTAAGGAAAAAAAGTGACCCTGTCTGATGTACATCAGACCCTTTCCCCAGAGGAGAAGTGCTCAGATCCACCAATTTCCTGCAGGGCTCATTTGTGCTTTCAGCATTCCTCTCCCGTAAGAAAGGCATCCTGCCTTATTTTGTTGATGTTACAAGATTGCAGTTTTGACACTTTTCAGCCAGTCAGCACATCATTGCTTTAATAAAAACCCAACCAAGACTTTACTGCTCAACTACAGATTGCTGGCTTTCGGATGCTGTCTGCATCAAAAATAGGGGCTGTGGAAAAGGGATGAAGGCAGGAGAGACAGCCGCTAGAAATCCATTTATTCCTGCAGGCTTGGAAATGATCATCTAACTGGAGCTCTCTCTGAGAGTGCAATAGATGGAGTCAAACTGCCACTAGATCAACCGGTGGGTTCTAAAAAACAACCGAGCTGATGTTTCTATGGTGTGTTTTCCAAAAGCAGTGACCATGAAAAACAACATCATTGCAGTCAGAGCTGCTTTTATCAGCCTTAATGATTCTTCAATATTAATGATTATGTGATTTTTATACACCTCCCTATTAGCAAGGAGAGACACACCAGCTCAGAGCAGCACGCACTCAGGCAAAACATTTTAAAAAGAGAAGGCAGGGCAATGCTGCCTGAGGCACAGCCCATTGCTGTGATATTCTGAGAGTAACACTAACAGGCTCGCTTTAATTTGATGTTATAATCCACAAAGCCTTCCCTAATCTGCAGAGAGACAATGAGAAAAGTTGGATTTGCTCAAACTAAACCGAGACAAAGAGACAATAAAGTTACAACTTTCTGGGATGATTAATTGAAGTGAAAAAAAATGGCTTGAATTGACAGAGCCTTTTATGTTTTTAGCAAGTAAGGCCTTTAAATACATGAAATGCATCAGGGATTAGGAACACGCTCGGCTCTTCGCTGAAGCGTAGCTGGGAGTTGCTGAGCTTTCCCTCCCCTGTATTCCACAAAGTGGAGGGCAAACCTTGCTTCCCTGCTGGTTTGTCTTTTGTGTCATTTTAAACATTTGTTTTAAATATTCCCCTAAACACTCTGTATCTGAAGAACCTCGGGCTGTGTGTTTTGTACAAGGGTCTTGTCGATGTTCCCTTTCTTCTGCACCAGCTTTGAAGCCATCGCAAAATGCCTGGCTGACTTTTCCTCCTGCAGTTAACAGAGTCTAGGGCAACACCAAGAGCCAACGCCAACCTCATGAGAATGACAAAAAAAAAGATCTTCCTTCCCTTCCACAGCCACACAGAGAGCAAACCCACCATCAGGACTTTGCTGTGGTGTCCCTGTCACTTGACACAGGACAGAGAGGACATCGAGGAAGGGCCCCAACCTCCCTGTGCACAGACACGGTACCTCTTTGCTACAGGAGCATCTTCATTCCTTCCTGCTCAGACTCTGCTTCATCAGACCACGACGTGACACGATGTCCATTAGCTCTGATTATACCCAGCTGTCAAAAGATGGTGCCGTCCGTACCCCGGTGTGTTTATTGCAATATATATGCACCCATTTGTAAAAGCGATGATATTTCCTTGACACGCTGCTTATTTTGAGAGATGTGAAAAAATAATCACCTTTCCACATCTACACATTATAATGTGAGGGATATAATCAAAGGGGAAGCAGCTTCAAAAGGAAAAGGAATCAAAACCCACTCTGTCACTTTTGACTCTTGCTGACACTCCCCTCACTAAATTACTGGTTTCAGCCTCATTGTACTCTCTCTGAGGGAGTTTTAAAGTAGAAATCAAGAAATCCTCAAAGGAAACCCTTCTGAAAGTACCCAGAAAAGGCAGCAACGACTTTTAAGCAGGACTCCATGTCTGAGATTCCACCTGTCTCCACAAATCTAAGGCCCTGTGTGCTATGAAAAGCCCCCCCAGATCCCGCTGCAAATCTGGCTCGGAGCGGAGATACACCTCGCTCGGGACAGCAAGGTCACTTTGATGATGGCCAAAAGGGAAAGCAGGTATATTGGGCACAGCTCTGGGATCCACAGCAGCTCCTGTGCTGCCCAGAGGGAGCCCATGGCCATTCTGAATGGGAAAGAGGAACTGGCACCAGTGGGAAGAACCTGAAGCAGAATGTGGGGATGCTCATCTAGGGGCATTTCTAACCAAAGGACTTCATGGCAGCTCTCGGGACAGCAAGTGGCAGGGTCTCTGCCTGGGGTTTCATCTGGGAGAGAACAGCAGCAACACCAGGAGAAGCAGCTCGTGGTAGGAATACAAAGGTTCATCTCTTCTTGAGCTGAAGGAGGGCCTGTACCACCCCGTCCCCAGCCACAAGGGCAATTTGCTCTTTTGTGCAGGAGAAGAATGGAGACATCCATGTAGGCAACAAGGCTGCTCTGTTCCTTCTTCCACCCACCCAGAGGAACGAGCATCCACCCGCTCGCTCGTGAACACTGCTACAGAAATCACTCACAAACGTTACATTAATTAACATAATTCTTGTGAAAGGTGCTGAACGGAGCACTCCACGGAGAAGAGATGGCATTGTACACACACCGTACCCCCCCGGCCTCAGTGGGAATGTGCTTAATGCCAGTCTGGAGGAACAAGACCATTCAAAGCAGCACAATCTCAGAAGCTCCTTCATGGGAATTAATGGTAGTGCTATCTCTAAAAACCCCAGATAAAGCCCCTATCGGCTTGTTCTAGTCTGGGGTAGATAATCTGAATAGAAGGGCTCATCCTCTTCCCCTATCCCTGACTCATCCCCGCTGCCTGCTAGCTTAGGGGCTCCTTAAAGCCACTTGCAGCAAGAATTTATAAAGACAAAACACAAT